ACTTTGTGATCCACCCTGAGCTTGCTTTGCTTTTCTTGACTGGTCTTGTGACCACTTGTTCTCTCCCACTTTGCCTATGGGGATGTGTCAAACTTATATATAGCTTAGATTGTGTAGGCTGAAGTGGGGTAGCCCATAAGGGGTACAACCCAATTAGGGTTAGTGTTTGTACCCAGCTTCTGTTCAATGCATTCATTCTCGTTCAATATTCTGACACTACCCTCTTAGCATCCTGGCACGCTACGTTGCGCCCGGGAGACACCGACCAGAGCACTGGGAGGCTGTTAAGAGGGTGTTGCGCTCCTTGTGCAGTACGTCGGGCATGGGGCTCGTGCTTGGAGTACCGGGTCCAGTTGTCCTCACTGGACACGCATACGCTTCTTGGGTTGACGACTTGGCTACGTAGCGGTCGTCACATGGCTACATTTTCAGCCTTGGCTCCGGCTCTGTTTCTTGGCGGTCTACCCGCTCGTCTTCTGTTCTCGGTTCCAGTTGTGAGGCTGAGATCTATGCACGGGCCATGGCTGAACAGGAGTTACGCTGGCTCACCTACCTGCTGACCGACTTGGGAGAGCGGCCTTGTTCTTCTCCAGTGCTGTACGTGGATATCAATGCCATGATTGCCTTGTGTAAGGAGCACAGACTGGAGCACAGAACGAAGCACATCGCTCTGCGTTACTTCCTTGCTCAAGAGTTGCAGCAGCGTGGTCAGCTTCGTCTTGCGTACATGGCCACTAGGGCCAACACTGCTGATATATTTTCACCAAGGCACTTCAGTCTGGTGATCATCAGCGTTTCTGTACTGTTTTAGGCCTTGTGCCTACTTTGCCTCACTTGCCTTCTGCTTGACTCTGCTTGTACTGTGATCTATGTATATACCTGCATGCTTACGCTTGCAAGGGTATGATCATAGTACTTTTTGTTCTCGTTTATATAACTCTGCATGTGAACTGGCCTTTGCTTGTGCTCGGAATGTGTGGTGACTTCGTGATCCACTCTGAGCTTGCTTTGCTTTTCTGGACTGGTCTTGTGACCACTTGTTCTCCCCCACTTTGCCTATGGGGGTGTGTTAAAATGTTATATTGCTTACTTTGTCGATCTCAATTCAATCTTTCTCGTTCGTTACTTTGACACCCCTAAGACTAGTCCCACTATAGCCTATAGATATACATGAACATACAATTTTGACAGTTTCTACCTCCACAATGCCGACATGCTCACCATAGCTCTCCCAAGCTTGCAGTTGCATGAGAATCTTGAGCGTATCTGCATGAGATGTTAGAATCGAGAATGAAATGAGTGAGAATGATTGCACTAGAAAGCATTGGGATACATATAGCAAACCCTAACAGGGTTGTACTCACTACAGAGTACCCCACTGCAGACTAGAGAAACATAATATTCTGACACACCCCCATAGTCAAAGTGGGGTATGATCAGCACAACAAGCAAAGCAAAGCAAGCTCAGGGTGGATCACAATGTCACCACACATTCTGAGCACAAGTACAAGAAGTAACAGTTTAAAGTTCACAATAAATAAGTAAAGCTAGAGGCTATCACAGAGAGCAAGTGAGGAGGAGGAGGCTGGACTAATAGGAGAGGAGAGAGGAGGCAACGGCGGAAGCTGCAGACACACGGGCAACAGGAGCGGCGCGCACTGTGGCTACCGGAGGCGCACCTCCGGACAACAGGAGTAACTGGCTCCGCGGCTAAGACGAGCGGCAGGAGCAACGGACCCACGGGCGATTGGTGCAGCGGCATCACTGGGCTACCGGAAGCGCACCTCCGGACTACTGGCACTGCTAGCAACACGACGGCTACCTCCACCCAACCTCCCTCTACTGCCGCACCCCCCATTCACACACCCCCTGCTGCACCCCTAGGTTCACTCACACTTCACCCCCTAGCACCATGCCTTTGGCTCCCACACATCCACCCCCCTCAGCGGCAGCTGCAGCAGAGGGAGACAAAGGAGGAGGAGGGGAAGGGAAACATACCACCCATCACCCCCATACCCGCCACCCCCATACCCTCCGTTCCACGGCTGCACGCGCAGCAGGGAGACGAAGAAGGGGAGGAGGGGGGGGGGGGGGGGGGGGGGGGGGGGGGGGGGGGGGGGAAGCAGCAACGGGCAGCAACGGGCGGCAATGGGCAGCACAGGGAGGCGGTGGCACCGGGTCCAGGGGCGGCGGCGCGGGGTCCAGGGGCGGCTGCTCCAGGGGCCAGGGGCGGCTGCTGAGGTCCAGGAGCGGCTGCACCAGGGGCGGCTGCTCCAGGGGCGGCTGCTCCAGGGGCGGCTGCTCCAGGGGCGGCTGCACCAGGGGCGGCTGCACCAGGGGCGGCTGCTCCAGGGGCGGCTGCAGAGGTCCAGGAGCAGCTGCACCAGGGGCGGCCGCTCCAGGGGCGGCTGCACCAGGGGCGGCTGCTCCAGGGGCGGCTGCACCAGGGGCGGCTGCACCAGGGGCGGCTGCTCCAGGGGCGGCTGCACCAGGGGCGGCTGCTCCGACGCGCGCCCCCCCCCCCCAGGTCGCCCCTCCCGTCGCCTGTTGAGGCGACCTGAGGGGGGGGGGGGGGGGAGGAGTACGGGGGCCGACGCGCGGCCTCCCAGGGCGCCAGAGCAGGCGGAAGAAGGGGCGACGCGCGCCCCCCCAGGTCGCCCCTCCCGTCGCCTTATGTGGCGACCCGGGGGGGGGGGGGGGGGGGGGGGCGGGGGGGGCGGTGCACGGGCCCCTGGTGCGCCACGACCGGCATGAGGAGGGCGGGGCCTGGGCAGGGTCGGGGCATGGCAGGGGCAGGGCCGCGATAGGGCCGCGACAGGGTCGGGGTAGGGCCGCGACAGGGGCAGGTCCGGGAAATTGCCGGGGCGAGGGCCGGGGTCGGGCCGGGGCAGAGCCGGGGCAGGGCCGGGGCAGGGTCGGAGCAGGGCCGGGACAGGGCCGGGGCGAGGCCGCGACAGGTCCGGGTCAGGGCCGGGGCCGGGCCGCGGCAGTGCAGGAGCAGGGCCGGGGCAGGGCCAAGACAGGGCCGGGGCGAGGGCCGAGTCAGGGCTGCAACAGGGCCGCAGCAGGGCCGCGACAGGTTGGGGTAGGGCCGGGGCAGGGCCGGAACAGGGCCGCGACAGGGTCGGGGTAGGGCCGCTAGTCGCGCCGCAACGGGGGGCGCAAAGGGGGGGGGGGGGGGGCTGATTGGGCCTTACGGGGCCTGACGGGGCCGCTAACGGGGCCGTAAACGGGGCCTTACGGGGCCATAACCGGGGCCTGACGGGGCCTTACGGGGCCGTAAACGGGGCCTAACGTGGCCTTACAGGGCCTTACGGGGCCGTAAGCGGGGCCGTAAACGGGGCCTTACGGGGCCTAACGGGGCCTTACGGGGCTGCGCGGCGCCTGGCTAGGCCGCAGCGCGGCTGCTTTGGGGGCCGGCGCTGGCTCTAAGGGCAGGCGCAGGGACCGCTACGGGCCTCGAAGGGCAGGTGCGACGCGCGCGTCAGGCAGGTGAGAAAAAAAAAATTCAGTGTAAACGTGGTGGGCCCTTAGGAAGGATCGAAATTGCTCTATACCATGTTAGAATCGAGAATGAAATGAGTGAGAATGATTGCACTAGAAAGCATTGGGATACATATAGCAAACCCTAACAGGGTTGTACTCACTACAGAGTACCCCACTGCAGACTAGAGAAACATAATATTCTGACATGAGAGTGATGGTCGTAAAAGGCCAAGGTTTCATTTGCTGAAAGGGCTGTGTTTTGATTGATGGGTAAACTTTGATGCTTATTGGAACAAGAGGGGGTGTTGGAATCATTGTTAACCCGGGTTGCTCTAATAACATATATGTAGTGTTGGATCTACACTCTAGTAGTGTATGATACAGTAGTGTAGCTGAAGCACACACGTTTTGGGAAAATATGCCACAAGTAACCAACTTGGAACTCGATAACGTGAATGGTAAAAAAAAAACGCGTACGGTCACTGTATCGGGTTTTCTGACGGGTTTGGTAAGCGGGGTCACGGATTCAGTCACTAACAACAGGTAAAAAATCACGCGAATGGTCACACATGTCACTCCCGCCAAAAAAACTTGAAACTCAACAAAATTCCCGCTCGCGCCCAACCAATCTGCGAATTTGTAAAAAAACTAAAACCCAATCGGAATCGGATGCGGTTTGGGAACGGATCAACCCTAAACACCTGGCGAGTTACGTGTTTAGGGTTGATCATCCGAAAATGCATCCAGGTTCTTTCTGGGTTTCATTTTGTTTTGGCGGGAGTTTCAATTGTGACCATTCACGTTTTTTTTTACCAGCTGATTGTGACTGATTCCGTGAAACGCTTTATCAGTCGCGTGAAAACACACTTTGCAGTGACCGTGCCCTTTATTTTTTTACCAAAAATGTTTTCGAGTCCCATGATGGTTACGAACGGCATATTTTCCCACACGTTTTTGACCAATTTAGGGTACAGTCATTGGCTATGAGGAAATCACGTGTTACAAATGATTTTTGCCCAGTTATTTGCTATGAAGAATTTAAGTGTTACAAATGATTTTCGCCCGAAATGAATTTATATGACACACGCCATTTTAGAATTGCATTGATCTCTTACTGGACTCCTCGTTTAGCTCGTTCCACTCATCCCAGCTTGATATGGTGGTGGGCTACTGTCGCCATCCACACATGACATTCAAGCAAAGAGGGAAGTTGGGCTACTGTTGTTTCATGTCGTTTCACGTCAACCGTAGAGCGGAACCTCGGATTGTAGCCAGTCTAGTCTAGAAGCCTGTGTGTTGCAGTACGAACGAGTCATCGAGAGGAATTCTTCAACGGATGTGCGTGCTGGTGGCGGGCGGCGAGGCGAGCGGCGATGGGGTCGTGGGTGGACGCGGGAAGTGGCGGGCGGGCGCGCGTTGAGGGGTGCAGAGGAGCTGCGGACGGCGCCGCTGCGCACCACACCACAGCGCGCGCTGCATCCGCGTGCGTCGCGCGCTCCCCGTCGTCGTCCCCCATGACCCTGCCCTCCGCGTCCTCCTCGCCCCTCAGCCTCTTCACGCCCTTGTCCCACCACCGCTCGCCGCTGCTCTCGCCTTGCCCCTCCCCCTCGCCGCTGCGCACGCTCGACGAGGATGCGGCGGACGTCGCGGAGGGGCCCATTGCGGAGCGGCAGTGGGGAATGGCGGGGATTCGCGGGACAGCGGCGGAGGCGGGCGGGGGGGTCGGGGTGGCGGGAGGCTGCGCGCCGATGCGGCGGAGTGCGGCGTCCGTGTCGATGCCGTCGCTGTGCGCCGCGCCGTGGGAGGGCGACGGGCTGGCGGCGAGCGCGTGGCTGCCGGGCGGCAGCGGGCGATGGACTCCCGGCGCTGCTTCGGCGTGGCTGGCGCGCGACGAGAGCGAGCGATGGGCGACCCACGGCGAATGGGCGGTGGGCGAGCGCAGTGCGCGGAGAGGAGCGGCGCGCGGGGGCACTGGGAGAAGCGGAGCGACAGGGACGGCGACGGAAGGCGGACCGGCAGGGGGAGGGCAGCGCCCTGCGATGGGCGGAGGGGCGAACGCGGGGGCGGGATGGCGGGAGCTTGCGCGGGAGGCGCAAGGGCGAGGGGGCTTGTGGGGGCCGCGGGCGAGGGAGGTGGGCGGCGCGAAGCGGGGCGTGCGGGGGCGAGGCAGGGACGGGTCGTGGGGGGGCGATGAGAGTGGCGCGGGCAGCGTGGGCGGGGATTGGGCGGAGGATGGGGCGGAAAGGGAGGCGGAGGAGGGGAGGGGGAGGGAGAAGAAGGCGAAGGGCGGAATGGTGGCAGGCACTGGTGAGGACGCGCGGGTTGGAGAGAGCAGCAGCGGTGCTGGCAGGGGGGCCGAGAACGCGGGGAGAGGGGGAGCGAGCTTGGAGCGCGAGCTGCAGGAGTCGCTGGGCGCTGCACTGCCGTGCGCCGCCCAAAGGGGCAGCAGCGGGGGGGACGAGCAGCCCCCAGGCGCAGCGCATGCGAGCAGGGCAGCGGCGAGCGTTGAGGACGCGACCACGAGCGGTGAGGGAGGGGTTGCTGGTGGCATGGTCAGTGAGCAGCAGCAAGCAGGCGTGAGCGAGTCCGAGGTCAGGAATGGGGGGAGGGCGGGCGAGCAGCGAGAGGGAGCGGGGGCGGAGGCGCAGCAGGTGGTGTTCCGCGTGACGGCGCAGGAGCAGGGACGCCGCCCCGCCGCTTGGAAGCCCGAGGCTGAGCCCCGCCGAAGCAGGCAGTCAGGTTCGGTGTTTGGGTCAGGGGAGGATGGGCTGACACTGGAGTCGTTTCTGTGCGGTGGCAGGAGGGCGCGCGCAGGGCTGCGGGGGCAGGGCGCCCAGACGTGGCAGGTGGCGAGGGGCGTGGCTCAGAGCATGAAGGCGCAGGTGCAGGGGGGGCGGAAAGGGGAAGCGGAGGGGAAGGAGGAGGGGGAGGGAGAGGGGAAAAAGGATGGAGGAGGGAGAAGGGAGGAGATGGTGGTGGAATTACGGTGTTGTGACGAGCAGAGGCAGAGGCAGCAAGGGGGAGGGCAGGGGGTGCACGAGCAGCTGCAGCAGTGGCGGCGGCAGAGGTCGCTGTGTGGTGGCGGTGGGAAGGGGAGGGCCTACCTTGGCGCGCGGAAGGGGCACAGGCACGGGCGGTCGGACGCGCTGGACGTGTCGGCTGCTGTGGCCGCGCTGGGGGGCGCTGGGGAGGCAGGCGCAGGCGGCAAGGAGGGGTGTGCAGGGGGCCAGGAGGGGTGTGGTGGCGGTGGCGGTGGTGGCAAGTGGGAGGGCAGTGGCGCGAGGCAAGGCGGGGATGGCGTGGGTGGAGGCAGCGGTGCGAGTGCGGGCGCAGTGCAGGCGGATGGCAGTGACCCGCCTGCTGCTCCCAGCCATGCTGCCATGGCGGCACCCAACAGCGTGGCGGGCATGGCGGGCATGGGCGCTGTGCTGTGCTGGTCGCCGCCATGGGTGGCCGCAGCAAGGGGCGTGCGGGCGGTGCGTGGGTCGCTGGACGTGGCCGCTGCCGTGGCGGCGCTGGGAGGCGCAGAGGGCGCGGAGGGAGGGGGGGTTGAGGGGGGTGCGGGGAGAGACGTGTGCATGGGGGGCGTGGATGGGGGAGGCGGCGGGGGGAAAGGCGCGCAGGGGAAAGAGATGGCGCACGAGAGGGATGGGGAGCAAGAAAGAGAGGCGGATGCGATGGTGGTTGAGGAGAAAAGGACTGCGAGGTGTGAGGAGGGCGAGCAGAGCATGGGTGGCGATGGGATGTGTGGCATGGCTGGTGTGAGTGCAGAAGCAGAAGCAGCGCATTCAGGCAGGCCGCCCTCCCCCACGGCACCCCCCTGCACGCCCCCACAAGGCCCTCCATCCCCACCTCTTACCGCACCATCCCCCGCCTCTCAGTGCCCATCGTCACCTCCACTTCCCCCCCCGGGCGCACAGGCTGCAAGCAGCGGTGGCAGCGGGGCATGGGAGGGCGCGGGCAAGGTGGCGCAGCAGCAGCAGGCGAGCAGTAGGCGGGCAGAGGGCGCACTGGAGGGGGCTGGGGGAGGGCAGCTCGCAGAGGCAGGCGCGAGGCAAGGGGATGGCGGGGCAGCGGTGGGAGGAGGGAAGTGGAAGGGGAGAGGGGGTGCGCGGAGGCAGCAGGGCAGTGTAGGCGAGGTGGAGCGTGCCTTTGAGGTGGCCCCCGCCCACCTGCTCGCCCTGCACCGGTGCGCGTGGGTGTGGATGGTGTATGATGGATGACGTGTGGTGCATGTTGCAAGGTGCATGGCAAATGGGTGCAGTGTGCTGGTGTGAGGAGCGGATGGGTGGATGGGTAGATGGGCGAATGGGCGAGTGAAGTCACATGAGCGAGTGCATCAGTGAATGCAGCTATGCACATGCCACCACTTCACATGCCACCACTTCACATGCCACCACTTCACATGCCACCACTTCACATGCCACCACTTCACATGCCACCACTTCACATGCCACTGCTGCATTTGCCATCACGTCACATGCCATCATGTCACATGCCATCGCGTCACATGCCATCACGTCACATGCCATCACGTCACATGCCATCACGTCACATGCCACGTCGCCCGCCATGAGCCCACCTTGGCCAGCACGTCTCCCATCTCGCCCACATGCCTCTCATCTCCCCGCTGCACCTGCGCTCCACCCCTCTCCCCATGGCCCCCTGCAGCTGGCACCCCTCATCGCGGGAACTGTCAGTGCGCTGGGCCGCGTGGCTGCTGCGCCGCATGCGCAAGGCCGCCTGCCCGCCCGCCCCTCGCCCGTTGCGCCTGCTGCTCTTCTCCGCGCTGCTCTCCGCCCTGCCCCTCGTCGCTAACTCGCTGCTCTCACCGCCTGCATCGCCACGCCATGCTCACTCCCAGGTATGGCGCCGGCGCACGGTGGCCGCATGTGACCCGCTTGCTGCCTTCCACGTCTCTCTCTTCCACGCTTGCCTCTTCCATCGCCCACACTCCACTGGCGCCCGACAGCATTCTCTCATGCCCCATGCTCCACACGCACTCCAATCATCCCCCTCCTCGTGCTACCGTGTACCCCCCACACTGCCCCCACCCACCCCCCATGGCCCCCGTAGCAGCTGCTGCACTCAGCGGCGTCGCTGCTGCGAGCCGTGGAGCGGAGCCGCGCCGCACTGCCAGCGCTGCAGTGGGCGGCGCTGCAGGAGCTGCTGCCGCGCTGCCACTCGCTGCTCTCCACTGCTGCCAGCCTGCACCGCCGCACACGGCATGGTGACAGTGGTGCCTCGCATGCATTTTCAGTTGCTGCAGTGGGCCTGGGTGGGGGAGGGGGAGCAGCGGCAGCGACAGCAGCGGCGGGTGGTGCTGTGTGCAGCCCTCCGTGGAGCTCCTCCTCCGCCTCCCCCGCCTCCTCTGCCACCCCCCACGCAACTGCTGCGCCTGGCAGCACTGCTGCGCATGGTGCATGTGGGGGGGATAGTGGTGGAGGCAGCAGCATGGAAGAGGATGGGGCTGGCAGGCACATGGCCGAGGCAGTGCAAGGGAGGGGCGCACAGGCGGATCAGGGCAGGGCGCAGGGCAGTGAGGATGAGAGCAGCAGGGCCGGCTGTGAGCGTAGAGCAGGGGGGGGGTCAGGGTGGGGTGCCTCCGCTGCTGCTGCTGCCGATGTTGATGGGGGCGACGCCTGTGTGCCAGTTGCCACCTCGGGTGCACATGGCCATGCGTCCCAGCAATCTCAGCTCGCTCAGCAGCGTGTGGGGGCAGAAGGGGATGCGGTGGGTGGTGCTCTCCCTCACACCGGCCATGCGCCTCCTGCCTGCACGCCCAGTCACCCTGCAGGTGCCCCTGCTCCCCCATGCGCCGTCTCCTCTCACCCCGCCACCACTCATGCCCTTGTGCGCATCCCACTGCCACCTGCACTGCACGCGGCTCCATGCGCTCCCCACACTGAGGCCACCCCGTGTGGGGAAGCCACTCGGCAAGAGCCAACCGTGCCGTCCTTCCCTCGCTTCTCGCCATTTGCCGCTGCAGCCACTCCCCTGCACGTGCCCTGGGCAGCGAGGGCAGCGGGGCACCGTATGAGTCGCAGCATGGACGGCAGCAGTGACGTGGCGTCGGGGCTGAGCGGCGGGGCGCGGCAGCAGTTTGAGGAGAGCAGGCGGCGGCAGCAGCAGGCGGTGCAGGCGTGTGTGCAGGCGCTGCAGGGCGGGCTGTTCTCGCCGTACGGCCGCACCGCTCACACCGCGGGGCGTGCTGCCACCAGCAGGTGGCGAGGGGCCGCAGCAGAGGGTGGGGTGGGCACAGGCGTTGGGGGCAGCAGTGGGGACGGAGGAGAGCGAGCAGAGGAAGAGGGCGTAGGGGGCAGGAAAGGAGGAGTTGAGGAGAGGGAAGGTAAGGGAGGGGATAAAGGTGGGGTAGGTGGGGAATGGGGAGGACGAGATGGGGGAGCAAGGAGCGTGGAGCGTGGCAGCGGGCACGAGCGGAGTCGCAGCTTGGATGTGGATGCCATGGCGCAGCTGTGCCGCCCACCTCACCCTGCAGCTGCCTCTCCCCATGGCATGGCAGGAGGGCAGGCGAGTGGAGGCAGTGAGCGGGGGACGAGGGGCATTGCTGCGCACCACGTTGACTCCGCTGCTCCTGCTGCCGCATCTCCACACGCCCACTCGCCTCTCCTGCCGCCCAAATCTCCCTCTCCGCAGCCGAAGGGCCGCTTCCCTCTCTTCTCTCCCGGCGCAGTGCCCTCTCCCCATACCCCCCTCGCCCATGCCCACCTCCTGTCCAAATGCCCCTTCCAGCCACCCATCTCGCCCAACCCCGATTCTGCCACACGACCCTGTGCCGCACCCTCACCTCCGTGTGCAACCCACACAACACTCTCTGCTCATCCCCCTATGCTGGAGGCAGAGGGCGTGGGGGCAGCAGAGGAGAGGGCGGTGGAGGAGATGACGTGCCTCTTCTCCGCCCACTTCTCTGCCCCCTCTGCGTCCTCGCACAGGCCAGCATGTGCAGCAGCGCATGGCAGCGCGCAAGGTCACCCCACGCCTCATGGCACACCTGGCTCTGCGCCCCACACGCCCTGCGCTTGCCCACCACCGTGCTCTGCTGCCGCTCAACCTCCCCATGCCACTGCCACGGATGCCCCGGTTCGTGTGGAAAGGCGGTGTGCAGGGGCAGAGGGTGTGGGCCAAGGCAGCACAGCAGGTGAGACGGTCACAGCAGCGGGTGGCGGCATGGCAGCAGCGGCGCCACCCAAGCCGCGGTCGCGCAAGAAGATGATGTCGAGGAGAGAGTGGCTGTAGTGGAGCTGAGTGGATCATGGGGGTTGTGACGAGAAGAATGAGCACTAATTTATTCCAGCGTGGTGCAGTAAGGCCTACTGTAGTGTAGTGCCATGCAGAGATGTGTTGGTGACACTCTACATCCATTCATATCGGTACCAGAAAACACATGGTGTTGTGGTACACTTTCTGTAACGGTACTGTTTCTACACCAGGGCCCAAAATATCAGGGTAAAATACCCTTTTTGCCCTGATGGTAGGCTGCTTTTTCCCAGTTACCCTTGTGAAATCAGGCTATAAAATTTTTTACCTTAGAGAAATCAGGCTACGCTGTAAACAACACTGATTGAATTTTCGTTTACCCGGACTGTATCAGGGTACGGAGTCAACTACACTGATACCGGAACCTTTTTTACCGCGGATTCCGCCTCACTTCGCGGGCAGACAAGATTCACCTCGGTCCCACTGCCACATTCGTCTCGTTCGACCACAGCGCACCACCGTTAAATCTATGCGGCTGCACGCCTGCTCGTCCGATTGGTCCTTAGAGCCACTTTTGTGCCAACGCAGCCGGGTGTATGGCCGCACGTAGCCACGCCCACTGCCAACGGTGCCTAATTGCGCGCCAAGTGTGGTTCGTGCTGTCGTTTGCATCATATGACAGTCACCCTTGTGCTGCAGCAAGTGCCATGCAGTTCCCGCGGTGCGTGGGAACCGTTCTGGAGGAGTCCTCGTGGGGTTTGTGTTTCCCAAGGGGTCCCTTTCGTTCACCCCATTCTCTCAATTCTCTCTTGTTAGTTCTCAGACATGCCTGCGACGGAGCCTGATCCGCCTGGTAGCATCAGAAATGGACTCTCCGTTCTTGGAGTGTTACCGCGGCTGCGTGAGAACTATAGTGTTCCCGTCTCGCAGTCACAGCGCGAGCCATCTCCGGAAGTTCTTGTCGGAAATGTGTATCCGTTTGAGCCAACAAACTCACCGAAGGCGTGGGAGCCGCATCCTTCTCAGAACATCGTTCCCGATGATGGCGAAGGCCCGTCGAAGCCACCAACTGCGGCCCCGTCCACTGTTAGTAGCGCGCCCATCAAGTGACAGCGTGTGGGCGCGACATACAAGCAGCAAAGGCTCTGGGGCGCACCTCCTCCCGACATGCGGCATCACCACCACAGCATGCTGCTCCTGCCGACCCGAAGCCTCCAACCGCGTCTGCAGAGGCTGAGTATGAAGCTGTAAAAGCCACTTTCGACTCGCAGTGGGCAGGAAAATTCAGCTGGCTGCGCTTAATGCGCATGACTAATGGCTGTCCATCGTTGAAATGTGCAATTTGCATCAAGCACGGAGAACCATCTGCGCACACTGCCTACGGTGTGAGAGGTGAGGGTGCTCGAGATTTGCAGATAGGCAGCATCCGCAGTCACACATCAAGCCGAGCCCACAAGCGTGCACTGGAAAACGAGGTGAAATCAGAGACGGAGAAAGCGAAGCAAGCCACTCTCACTCGGTGGCAGTCCACCGATGCGTCCACTAGGCACATCATACGCTGCCTCCACATCGTGCTCTTCATCTGCAGGGCTGACGCTCCTATCGCCATGTTCGTTCCGTTGTGCTGGTTTTTGGCGAAGGAGGGAATGCCGGATCTTCCACAGTCTGGAGGATACGGCGCCTACTATACCGAATAAATGAGGGTGCTGGTGGTTGTGTTATTGCCGGATCTTCCACCGTCGATCTCTTCTAATGCACTGTGTATTTGTGTGTCGTAGTCTCTTGTCCGTCGCAGTTGCGGATTCAAGGAGAAGCTGCGCGCCATCTCAACGTATCTTCAAGAGACACAGCGCGGGCACCTACTCGAATCTCCTTGGATCGGGATCTCCGCGGATGAAAGCATCGACAGGGTGCATGGGAAACACCTAATTCTTTATGCGACTGTCTTCAAAGGGACGGCAACGGTAACTGCGTTTTTAACCCTTATCACGGTGGACCGTGCTGACGCTGCGTCTCTCACCTCCGCCGTCGTGCAGTATCTCACAGGAATTGGCATTGATCTTCAAAAGATTTCTAGGGTTTCTACCGAAGGTGCGAGCGTGATGGTCGGGAAGAACAACGGGGTGGCAGCGAGGCTGCGAATGCGCATTCCACACTTGGCGTCAGTACATTGTATCGCGCACCAGTAAGTCACATAACCGTGACAATATTTTCTGAAGTTTGAAGCAATTATACCATTCTAACAACAGTTTCCTTGTGTGTTTGACTGCACAGAGAGGCCCTTGCTGCCAAAGATGCCGCAGATGCTGTCCCGGAGCTCCGCATGGTGGACGCCGTGGTGCGGGCATTTGCAGAGCACATCGGCCTCAGCAGCGTGGATTATACGAAGTTTCAGAACCTACAGCGGGTCTTCTGCCAGACAAACTTGGAGGTGCAGGGCATCCACGACGTGCGCTGGCTCTCCCGTGGTGAGGCGGTGCAGCGGCTGCTTGACGTACACCCTGCAGCCATAGTGGTGATGAAGGAGTACAAGAAGGAGCTGTACGAGGTGGTAACCTCGTTCAAGTTCCACTGGCTCATCCGCTTCCTTGCGGATGTGCTGTGGGAACTGAACCAACTCAATCAGCGCTTTCAGCAATGCCAGGTAAGAGTCGTTTATGCATGGATGTACACAGTGGCATACACTCAACACACATTCTGACCCCATCTGTCGCCACTTTGCAGATTGACGTCACCCTCGTGGCGCACATCGTACAACAAACGAGGATGCGCCTGAAAATACGCTACTTCGACAGATCACCTGGTCATAGTTTTGGCAGCGGTGAGAAGATGCAGCTGCCTGACTTCATCAAGTCACACCAGAAGCTGGAGAACCAAGAGGTGAAGGCGGAAGGTGTTGATGGGGACGGCAACCCCGTCTGCACGAGCGACCACTGCCTGACTACGAGACGGACGACGATGTGACTGCGTGCTTCGAGCTGTCGTTGAAGTTCATCCGCGCCGTGGACGCGGAGCTGGAGTGGCGCATGCGCGACCTCAACCTTCTGGAAGGCACAAAGCTGTTTCGCACAGCGTCATACGTTCCTGATGACACGAAGCGGCTTGAATCATTCAGGAAGTGGCTTGGCCAGCTCCACAAGCTGTACAACCACAAACTGACAGGTAAGCAGCGTGGATGATTGAAGTTTCTAATGTGTATCTATCACTTGATTCACCTTTGGCCCAATCGTTGCACGTCTGGGTGTTCCACATTGGTTGTTGGATTAGTGCTCCCCACCCGGCCTATTGCCGTTGGACTAATATCTCCCACTCCAACCTGTATCTGCGAGCATAGGCCTAGTCTCTAACCCCCCCTCTCCAGGGTTCGACTACAAACGTGCCGGCAAAGAGCTCTGGATGTTCACATCCACCATGTTCTCCCAACACAGCAACGAGGAGTTTCATCAGGCGCTGGGGAATATGCTGCGCGCCGATGCGTGGCGAGCATCATTCCCCAACATCATGCGCATGTGGCAGTCTGTCGCCGTGCTTCCATTGAGCATGGTTGAATGCGAGCGGGGATTTAGCAAGCAAAATTTGATAAAGACGTGGGGACGCGGCAGCAACGGCGACACAAGCCTTGAGAACCTCATGCGATGCTCCCTCGTGCAGTACGACATTGACTTGTACGAGGTGGTCGCCATTTTTTGTGGGGAGAAGCTCCGAAGATCTACTAAGGATTTCGGAGGGAGTAAGGCTAGCCAGGCACAGTTTGTAGATGAAGTAGTTGCCAGTGCGCCAGGGACTGAGGAGTCGTGATTGCATTGCGTTTTGATGTGTACGAACTGTGATATGGAAAATTAATGACTTAGAGTCAACCTACCCACATTTTTACCCTGGTACAATCAGTGTAACATAATTTTTAGGCTGCTGGTAACGGGGTACGGAAAATTTTACCCTAACAGTTAGGGTACGGGGAACATGACACCCTGGTTTGAAAGAGTGGACCAAAAGCTATTTTGGGCCCTGTTCTACACACTTCCATTTGTGGCTAAGTACAGGGCCCCATGTTTCAGTTACCGTAATCTCCCGCATAGTACACCCTTGGGTACACTGATGAGGGGGTGTAAGTTTGCGGTGCGGAGATGGGTGTTGTATATAATTATACAAGTTGAAGTCAGCTCACTGCCATTTATCGACAGCCAATATCAGCAATAATACTCAAATTATGCCTGTGCTAGTTTGCAGGTGTAATCAGCCTAACTGATTTCTAAAAAAACAGCAACGATTTCTCGCTTTCATGCTGGAATTCTACTACTTCGTATTGACGAGAGTAGAAACTGCATTACGTTGCTACCGAAATGCTGCTCATCCATTTTCTCACACTACAAGTGTTCAAGTAGGAAGACAGGAATGATGAATGACTAGCAACAGGGAAATACAAGTATGAAACCCTAACTGGGGTTGTACCCTATACTGAGCACCTCAGTGTAGCCTAGCAGAACTAAGAACATACAAATATGTTTTGATACACCCCCCTAGGCAAAGTGAGGGATAGCCAACACAACAAACGGTCACATGACCAGTCAGACAAGAGAACAAAGCAATGCAAAGCCCAGGGTGGATCTCAAGATCACCACTCATTCTGAGCACAAGTAAGCGGCCACAAGGCCAGTTCACATGCAGAGTTATAATAGCAAGGCAGTACACTGATCACAACCTAGCAAGAGTAGACATGCAGGTATAAAAATTGATATAAGTGTACAACCAGAGCAAGATCAAGAGACAAGCAGGTGAGGCAAAACGGGCAAAAGCCCTAGAGCATTGCAAAAACGCTGATGATCACCAGACCCGAGGGCCTTGGTGAAGACATCAGTAGTGTTGGCCCGAGAGGCCACGTAGGAAAGGCAAAGCTGACCACGCTACTGCAACTCTCGAGCAAGAAAGTAGCGAAGAGAAATGTGCTTCGTTCTGTGCTCCAGTCTCTGCTCGTGACACAAGGCCAGCATGGCCTTGCTGTTGTCGTACAGAATTGGAGGAGAACGAGGCCGCTCCCCCAAGTCGCTCAGCAGGTATGTCAGCCAGCGTAGCTCCTGTGCAGCCATAGCCCCAGCGTAGATCTCGGCCTCACAGCTGGAACCAAGCACAGAAGAAGAACGAGTGGACCTCCACAAGACAGAGCAAGAGCCAAGACTGAAGGTGTAACCCTATGATGGACGCTGAGTCGCCTGGTCATCGGCCCAAGAAGCGTCGGAGTGTCCTGTGAGTACCACTGAACCCTGTCCTCCAAGCACGAGCCCCACGCCCAATGTACTGCACAAGTAACGCAGTACCCTCTTCGCAGCACCCCACTGCACCTTTTGGTGTCTACCGGGAGCCACGTAGCGAGCAAAGAGGCTGAGAGGGTACGAGAGGTCAGAGCGTGTGAACGTCATCAGGTACATGAGGCAACCCACAAGCTCTGGGTACGGACCACTCAGCTCTACGGACTCGTCCGAAGGTGGAGCTGAGAGCGAGTGGCCAGTAGGCAGAGGAAGGGGCTGTGGCGAGGAGTACTGGAAGCTGAAGCGCTGAAGGACCTGGTGCATCATGTGTGACTGAGTCAGGGTGATGGTGCATCGTGCTCTGTCCCGGGTGATCTGCAAGCCAAGATAGCTCCGCAGCTCACCTAAGTCAGTGCAGGTGTGTCTCTCCTGGAGCTCCGCCTTCACTAGGGCCAGCGCCTCAGTGTCAGCAGTAGCAAAAACCAAGTCGTCGACGTACACGAGAACGTAGAATGGCGGCAGAGAAGTGTCGGTGCATAGAAACAGCGATGGGTCAGCAGAGGAAGGAGCAAACCCAAGAGCCGCAAGTGTCGTCCTCAGTGTGTCATACCACTCGCGGGGCGCCTGGCGGTGATCGTAGACTGGCCGCCGGAGGCTCCTCTGGGTACCCGCAGGAAACGACCCAGTGAAGCCAGGTGGGCGGTGCAGCCAGATCTCCTCGTGAAGGCTGCCTTGCAAGAAAGATGTGGAGAAGTCAAGGGAGTACAGGTCGTAGTCACACTGTGCCGCAACGTGCAGCAACACCCGAAGAGTAGTCATCTTCTGGGTGGGGGAGAAGGTCTCGAAGAAGTCGACCCCCTATCGCTGATTGAAGCCTCGAGCAACGTAACGCGCCTTGAAGGCAGGCGGAGAACCTGGCGGCCGCTTCACTCTGAAATCCACATGCCATCGACTGTGTTCACCCCATGAGGAGGAACCTCGTCGACGTAGGTGCTTGTAGACTTCCAGGAAGCCGTCTCTGCGTCCATGGTTGTCTGCCACTGAGAGGAGTACTCACCCGCGATCGCCTCATCGTAAGAGCGTGGGCTAGGGATGTCAAGTGTACCCGGATCTTCCTCTGGGCAAAGCAGCATGGATGCGAAACGAGGTAAAGCGGTCGCGAGACACTCAAGCTGAAACTGCCTATCCTCAAGGATGTCACTGCCAAGGGCAGGCTCACCCCCGACAGACGGAGGACAGACAGACTCACACTCTGTAACAAGACTCGTGACGTAGTCAAGACGACTCCTAGCAGCAAAGTCTACTAGCTCAGTGACTAGGGCAAACGCAGCAGTAGACTCAAAGCCATGGTCACAAACGGCAGTAGCGAGGAGACGAGTGACAGTCGGACTGGCAGCACGAGCAAGGTCGGACTCAGGGTCAGGCACTTTAGGAAGAGAGGACGCTGGTGGAGACGGCAGGGCAACACGCTGTGGAACAGAGGAAGGACGAAGTGCCATAGCGTGAGTGCCTGGGACAGCAAGAGGACGAGGACGGGCGACACAACGAGCACGAACAGGTGTGGAGGCATGAGACGCAGGCTCACGACGCTCAGTCAGGGAGTCTTGCAGCTCAGTGTAGGGAGAAGGAGCAAGCAGTGGGGAGCCAGGTGGCAACAGTGACTGAGACGGGCCAGACGGTGGACACAAGAGAGGTGGAGTGAGGCCAATGGAAGATGGGAGACTAAGAACCTAGCGGAGGGCCGAGTCAGGCGGTGGCAGGGACGACTGCTGCTGCGGGTAGAAAACCGGTTGGCGCGGCGCAGTAGCTGTACCGCCAGTAGCTCAGCACCTCCAGTACCTACAGCTCCAGCACCTCCAGTAGCACCTCCAGCATCTCGAGCACCAACAGTACCACTAGCTCCGGCAGCTCCAGCACGTCTAGTACGAGCACCTCCAGGACCAGCAGCTCAAGCACCTCCAGTATCTCCAGTACCTATAGCTCTAGCGCCTCCAGCACTAGCAGCACCTTCAGCACCTCCAGCACCAGCAGAACCACCAGCTCTGGCAGCTCCAGCACATCTAGTACGAGAACCTCCAGGACCATCAACTCCAGCACCTCCAGTACCTCCAGTACCTCTAGCTCCAGCACCTCCTGTAGCACCTCCAGCACCTCCAGCACCAGCAGCACCACCAGCTCCGGCAGCTCCAGCACCTCTAGTATGAGCACCTCCAGGACCAGCAGCTCCAGCACCTCCAGGACCTCCAGTACCTCCAGCTCCAGCGCCTCCAGCACCAGTAGTACCTCCGGCAATTCCAGCACCAGCAGCTCCAGTAGTATCTCTAGCAGCAGCAGCACCTCCAACACCTCCAGCACGAGCAGCTCCGGCACCTGCAGAACCTTCAGCAGTACCTCCAGCACCAGCAGCTCCAGCACCTCCAGCACCTCCAGTAGTACCTCCAGCACCAGCAGCTCCAGCACCAGTAGCACCTCCAGCAGTACCTCCAGCACCAGCAGCTCCAGTGTCTAGGAAACTCCAAGCTCCAGCACCAGAGCGGCCTCGTCGAATTACCCACTCACGAAGCTGCTGCGGTGAGGGCGTCTTGAGTCGACTAGGCGGCTACTGCTGTCCAACGCCACGACCAGTAGTAGGAGCACCCACGGCCCCACCAACACTAGGACTCGCACCACCCCCAGAGTCAGCACACACAGAACCCTCACCCCCAGGCTCAGCACCCCCAG